ATCGACGCCCTAGTCGCCAGAACAATGACGAAAACCAACCTCCTCCTGCCCAAGGATGAGACCGACGGGAGCCACTCACACCAGTAAACAAACAAAGTAAACCAAAATCGAATGTAGCTTTTAAAGAACCACTTATAAAAAAGGAAGCTTTAACAACTGACAAAGAGAATGGTCCCCCGCAATCACTAGATAATGAAACAACAAAGGCAAAAAGTCCACCAATAGTCGCAGATACCGGCAGCACAGGACACTACCTATCCACGGATTTTATAGCCATGAACAATGAACAAATCATCAACATCCAACCGAGCACGAACCCAATTCGAGTCACCCTTCCAGACAACTCAATTATAGAGTCAACACATACATGTCAACTAGACATCCCAAACCTTCCAAAAGATGCAACCAAAGCACATCTATTTCCAACCCTTGGATCAACCTCCCTTCTATCAACAGGCAAACTATGTGATGCCGGATGTGAGGTGGGGATCTACCCCACCACTTGCCCGCGTCAATAAAGTCACTCCGTGACCAATAGCTTGTTAAGCTAAATGAGTAATTTAAACCCTGTGATGCCGGATGTGAAGCGACATTTAGGGCACACGAATGCCTCATCTCCTTTATGGGAGATGTAATCCTTACAGGCGAACGAAACCCAGCCACCAATCAACTGTGGGAACTGAACTTACAGCAACCACAAAACCACGCAGCCAACCTAATGGCCACAACACCTAATGCAACCACAGCTGATCTGGTTGCATTCGCACATGCGGCTCTGTTTTCACCGGTACCTTCTACGTTGAAGGAAGCACTCAAAAAGAAATACATCCACAATATGCCGGGGCTAACCCCGGACACCTTCAACCGATACACACCCCACTCAATCGCAACAGCCAAAGGGCACATGAACCAACAGCGGCAAGGACTGAGATCTACCAAAACAGAACCAGAACAACTTCCGTTGTTACCGGAACCGAACAGTCAATCGCCCGCACACGACGACGCATTTCCGACCCAACACGAAGAAACAGACGAAAGAGCTGCACACGCATGCTACTCAGCCGTCATCCAACCAACAGGCAAAACATTCTCCGACCGAACTGGAAGGTTCTTCATTCCATCCAGTACAGGCAGCAACTACCTGTTCATCCTGTACCACTACGATAGCAATTCCATCCATGCAAAACCAATGTCAAACAGGTCAGCGAAGTCGCATGTCGCGGCTTGGACTAAAATCCACAATCAACTTGTTAGAGCCGGCTTGAGGCCAAAACTACATATGATGGACAATGAATGCTCACAGCTACTACGTGACCAAATCCACAACGCTGGCATTGACCTCCAAACGACGCCAGCAGGCATCCATCGTCGCAACGCGGCTGAAAGAGCCATCCAAACCTACAAGAGTCACCTCATTGCAGGACTATGCACCACCGACACGAACTTCCCACTACATTTGTGGGATAAGCTCATCCCACAATGCACCATCACACTCAACCTATTAAGAGGATCCCGCATCAACCCAGCACTGTCAGCACATGCACAAGTCTTCAGCCAGTTCGACTTTACAGCCACACCAATCGCACCACCAGGCATGCATGTTGTAGTACACGAAAAACCTAATGAGAGACCTCCGTGGGCTCCCAAAGGCAAAGACGGATGGTACATCGGTCCGGAATTAGAAGCATACAGATGCTTTCGAACTTGGATTTGGGACACCCAAAGAGAACGAAAGGCAGACACATTGTCATGGTTCCCTGAAAGACTACAGAACCCATTACCGACACCGTTGGATATAGCCATCGGTTGCATTAAAGACATAGCCACAGCGCTAACACTCCCGAACACAGAACCAACCAGCCAATCGCTCACGGAAAGTGAAGCACGTACACTTTTGGAGCTGGCAGAAATCTTCGACAAGCGACTACACCAACAGCTCAAGCCCGAAGCAACACCGGCCACGCAACACAAACCAGATAAGAATCCACCAGATGACGCAGTTCTGAGGGTGGATGCAGGCACACCCACTTACCAAACAGCAACGAAGCACAAGAAACGCCAACAAAAGAAATCTGTTCCGGTACCCACACCACAGAACACAAATGCGAGTCCAGCACAAAAAGAACAAGCGAACAAGGCCGTGAATCCGGACACAGGTGTGTTATCGGATTACAAGGTTCTGAAGAACTCTACGGACGGAGAACGATGAGTGGAAATCCACGTGAATTCCCATTGTGGTGCGAAGCAGCTGTGCTGGTTTAGCCAGGTGGAAGAATCGCTGTGACATCTGTATACTCCAACAGTAGGGTCAGCAGTGCAGCCATCTGGCAATACAGAAATAGCTGAGGAACTCTATATACCCAAGGATGATGCAGTTCTTCAGCCAAGACCAATATAGAAAGTTAGCTTGCCAGCACCAGCCAAATGAGATGCAAGAGAGCCAAAGCTGCATGGCTGAGTGCTGTTGAGGATTTTGTGTTCAGTTGATTTTAGCATAGTTTAAAGAAGAAGAAGTAATGAAAGGATAGTTGACCAGATACAGCCTCAGTAGCACTAGTTTCCCCACAGTTGAAGCCTTCCTGTGTGGATTGTGCCAAGGCAAAGAGTGAGTTGTTCAATCATTGCTGTGGAGATTGAATAGCAGCGGCAGCCAGCTTTGTGGCTGGCCCATTCCCACTGTCAGAGGAGTGAGGCTCCAAGCAGAGCTCTCCACTCCAACCAACTCTTTGTGCATCTACCCTGACTGGATCTCATCGGAGAACAGTGGATCAGTGCATGCTGCAATGAAATAGGACGCTTGGCACAAGGTCGACAATCTACAGGTCTCAAAGGAACAGAAACAATCCGCTTCATCAAGCACACCGACGTACCGGCAGGAAGAAAGCCCACGTACCTTCGAGTAGTCTGTGATGACAGACCACAGAAAGCAGAAGTCAGAAGAGTCCGCTTTACAGTCGGCGGAGACAGGATCAAATACCCATTCAACGTGAGCACCAAAACAGTGTCACTAAGCACAGTCAAGATGCACCTAAACAGTGTTATTTCCACTGACGACGCCCGCTTCATGTCTATCGACATAAAGGACTTTTACCTCAACACACCAATGGAGCGCCCAGAGTACATGAGAATCCCAAGGGACTGCATTCCAGATGAAATCATGGACCAATACAACCTACACCACCTCGTCCACAATGGATACGTGATGGTGGAAATCAACCGAGGAATGTACGGACTACCACAAGCCGGTCGCATTGCGAATGATGCACTAGTAGACTACCTGGCAACAACCGGATATCACCAGTCAAAGCACGTCCATGGATTATTCAAGCACGAAGAACGCCCAGTTGCGTTCACACTAGTCGTAGATGACTTCGGAGTCAAATACGTAGGCAAAGACAATGCCATGCACTTAATCGACACTCTCGCCAAAGCGTACAAGATCACAAATGACTGGAAAGGGGAACTATACTGTGGCATCCACCTCGACTGGAACTACGAGAACGGAACAGTGGACCTGTCCATGCCAGAATATGTCACAAGGGCTTTACAGCGATTCAACCACTCGCAAACAACGGCACCACAGCACGCTCCCCACAAATGGAACGTTCCACAATACAGTCAACCGGTCCAATACACTGAACCGGAAGACAAGACAAAACCACTTCCACCATCCGGTATCAAGCACATCCAAGAAGTCGTAGGTGTGCTACTCTATTATGCCCGGGCAGTGGACTGCACGATGCTAATGGCATTAGGAGACATCGCGGCTGAGCAAACCAAAGGAACAGAAAAAACAATGGAAGCCACCGTAATGCTACTCAATTACGCGGCCACACATCCAGATGCCATATTAAGGTACAAACGAAGCGACATGATCCTGCATTTGCACTCAGACGCCTCCTACCTCTCGGCACCGAAAGCAAGATCAAGGGCAGGAGGATACATGTTCCTCAGCAATGGCAGCATAGACAATGCACCTGATAATGGACCCTTACATGTAGTCGTCAAGATCATGAAAAATGTACTGAGCTCAGCTGCCGAGGCAGAAGTAGGAGCAGCATTTAACAATGCTCAAGAAGCATGCCCAATGCGACATACGCTTATCGAAATGGGACATCCCCAACCAGCCACACCCATCCAAACCGACAACAAATGCGCAGAAGGGATCCTCACCGGCACTGTCAAACAGAAGAGATCCAAAGCTATTGACATGCAATTCTATTGGCTCAAGGACAGAATTGAACAAGGGCAATTCACCATCTACTGGCGCCCCGGTATCACCAATAGAGGAGACTACTTCACAAAGCACCATCCAGTGTCGCATCATAAAGCAGAACGATCTAAATACTTACTCGACAACAAGCAAGCACCAACATCGACAATGGCAACACCATCATGATAGTGTGAGGGTGTGTTGATCTGGCACTAGGGACCCTTAAGTCTTTAGGTCCCATGCCACATCACAACCACTATAATGATGTCAGCAAGCCCACTAGATGCTCACCCTGCTTGCCCAAGGACAAGTAGGGTCCCAATACCGTTAGAGACTGTTAGAGTTGGCACTCCCCAGCTGGGCCTGTGTGATCCAGTATGGGACATCCACCTAGATTCTAGCAGCTCATAATTGTTAATAACAAACTTTAACTACCAATTCTTCACTAGGCTCCAGCCTGGATCAACATGTGCAACCCAAAATGCGTGAGTTTTGGGGTACCTTGGTGTTGCTTGCTCTTACTGTAGACCTGAATGTACTTGCGCTCCAACCGATTTCTTCTCGAGCCGTTCTGCACTGATCAAGCTGTTATGTCCTATTACTCCCAACGCGACCAACATACTAGCAACCCAAACGCGGCCTACCGTAATCTGGACAGAAGGGTCCTAGAATAATCCGAGAATACTAGCTAGTAGTCTCTGGCCTCTGGCTTCTCCCTATGGTCCGCCACCGGTATCTTCACAATCGGGAAGTGCTAGTTGCATACAAAGTGGCTGTTGCTTCATAGTTATTGACTCGACCCCTCAATACACAGCAAGGAGAGACCCTCAAACGCACGCGATGTAATACATGTAATACGTACAATGCGTATTCTACGTATTCTCGTATAATACGTATTACACGTATTACACGGTCGCCAGCCAGCCTCCGTGACCGTTCGAATGACCGTTCGCAAAATGGCTTCAACACCAATCTCCACCAATCTCCAATCTCCACCAATCTCCACAACACACACCATGAGATAAACCTCTCTCCTCTTGTTTGTTTGAAGAATACAGAGGTTTCTGTTGTTATTTGAAGATAGTACCATCATTGTGGGTAAGTAGGCAATGTGGTATGGCTTTGTTGAAGCCAAGAAGACTGTTTCTGTGGAAAGATAGAAGGATTTCTCTCCATTCAACTCCTTCTTCATTCTCCTGCCCCCACTCTCTTATCAGGCTTTGTCAAGCTCACAGGACCATTCTCTTTGCATTCATATACTTCTGAAGGCTCACTGACGAAGCCTGTGGAAGATCTGGCCTTGAATTCTACCATTGTGAACCACTTTCCATTGTCAACCACTTTCTGTAGGACCAGTACTGAACCCATGTAAGTACCTCAGTCAGCGCGCAACACGTGGTATACATGTTACGCGTGTAACACGTGTTATGCATGTAATGTGTATTATATGTATCACCGTGTTATACGTGTAACAGTGTAACATGTATTATGCATATCCCCGTGTTATACGTATCACCTGTATTATATGTATTACCTGTATTATACGTATTACCTGTATTATACGTATTACCCGTGTTCGTTGTCTCCACCTATTTTTGTTTT